TATTCCACATCTCCTTTCATCGTGCTCATTCACATTTGACTGCAGATTTTGTGCCTTTTCGAAATTATTTAAATATCTTATTTATATTTATTTTATGTTTAACATTCAGTGTGTAGGGAAAACAAATAAAAAAACATCTATCTTTAAGCATATTTTTTTATGTAAGCATGGTCTAAACTTAGATATTTTATGAAGCTTATAATATTTTTTAAGTTGTCACAAATTGACCTAGTTAACTACATGGTATGTCTCACAATTTAAAAAAAAACTGTACTTCAACTTCGAAATCAATTACTATAAAAATATAATTTTATTAAACATGAATTCATGACCATGTGATTTAAGAATAGGTAATAATCAGGATGTCGCACTGAAAAAGTTAATTATCAAGACTTCTAATGTACATGTTATATGTAATAAAAAGATTGAGACACAACAGTTTGTTGCCTTGAGGGATGAATATTAAACTATCATGGGTATTGAGATGATTTTATAATGATGTTCACAAATCTTAAATGTCCTCTCCAAATTGTGGATAAAGTCATAATCAATTGAAAATTTAAGAAAAATATGACACAACAGGATATTATTGTATTCTGGTATTTTGGATATACATGATATATATAATATATAAAAAATACAGGTTTTAAAAGTTATGTAAGCATCCATTTATCAACATAAAAATGAGTAAATAACTAATATAAAATAAAGAAAAGGTGTGGTCTGGGGAATATAAACTGCAAAGCACTATTGTATGATGTACACCTCTGAGGTGCCAAAAATTTCTAGAATTAAACTTTTTTTCTAAATCTGATTTATGGGATTATATGACTGTAAAAAAATAATTGGTGAAGAAAACATCATATGGTGGTGCACTTCTTTTTTTGCTACGGCCCTTTGAAAGTATCCAATTATGGTTTTCACATTTTTCATCAATTTTTTCCTATTTTTGAGCTATTATCATGAAAAAAATCACAATTCCACAATTAAACTTTTTATCATACTTTCAATAAAGATGAAGGGGACCAATCTGAATAAATTTGAACTAAAAAAACTATAAGTAGGTGTTAATATAAGAAAGTGTTATCATATTTTGATGCTTTTTTGTGTCAAATTTACCATGTTGTCAATTTTTTTTCAATTTGTGATTTTTCTCCGTTTAAAGTTCAATTTCCATATTTTTTCAACTTCTTTGTTATAAATGATTGAAAAAATACATATCTAAGAAATTTGAAAACAAAAAAGTGATGTGGGATGTACATGTTTCTAAAAAAATCATTTTGTATCACTCACCCATTTCCTCAAAATTTTGCCTAAACAGACTGACTTGATTGGTAAAAAAATTTGAAAAATTTATTACTCAAAATTTACTCATTGGAACTACCCAAATTTAAGTTTGATTATAACATTTTTTAAATTCATTGATATTTTCCACTTGAATCACATATTTTAGAAATAATTCCAGAACGAGATTTCAACGAGACTGAAACGTCAGAAGAATACATCCTTAATAAAAACTGTAATAAGTAAAAAGTATACCGGGTAACTTTGAGTATGTCAAATTAAGCTTAAGGTTTAATATAAAATATAATATGGAAATATAATCCTTTTTCAGTTTTCTTAAAATGTTAAAATAGAGGGTTAACCTTTGGATAATGATTCTACATTTACATGATTTACCTATAAAAAGATTTATTCATTTATGACACAAAATTCTTTACCATAAAGTTTCTTTTACCATTTTTGATTAAGCACTGTTAAAGTCACAATGTACAACATAAACCTACCTACCTACCCTATTGTCAGCACGTGACAGTAAACACACATACTTTTTTGTTTGGCCTTTATGCACTTGACAAAAGAAAAGTCTGTAACTAAGGTAACAACAGTGCATTTAGTTCTGGTTTTTGTTTTATCATTCTTTAAACTTATATTTGTAGTGATTTTATTCCTATCAAAATGATCAAAATGTGTTTTAGAGAGAAATAATCATGTCAGACTTTAAAGAATTGATCAAAACAAATATAAAGTGCTAGCCTCAACTAGACAGTAACCCTTTAATGAAGTACACACATTAGAAAACATTAATGTAGAAAGAGAAACAATATCTGTTAGGGAATAAAACCCCAAAGAAAGATTTTATTCTTCTTGTTATATGGGACTTATATATAAGTTCAATTGCATAAGTCATAAATACAATTTTAATAGTCATAGAACTATGTTATCAAGCAAATTAGACTTGCGGGTTTTCTTCAAGATAAATGCAAGTAAATATAAACAACATTAGATTCGTTTCAGTAATTAATTCTTAATTTATATATTTTTTTGTAGAATTCACATTGGTTGGAGCATGATTCCCAGCCAGATTATGAAGCCGGTATATACATGATATAGGAAATATATATATTTGTCACTAAGTAACTCCCATAGCTGCTAATTGTTAAACAGTTGATTAATTCATAATTTTGTGCTTACTTATTGCTTTTGGAAATAACAAATAGGGCTTACAGCATTATGCCATGATATTGATGGGATGTTCGATTAGATTGGACAAGAAGAAAATTGTACATTGAACAAATAGCAAACTTACAATTTGTAAGAAAGACTACATTACTTGATGACAGTGAATATCTTTGATATATTATTCATTTGAAATAACAATTTTAAATAAAGAGAATTCATAGTTTTCTGGGATATTAATATTACATCGTATCTGAATTCCATGAAAATTGTGGATAGATATACATTTAGAGTAGCAAATTGGAATAATGAAAATTCAAAGTTTCAGTGATTACTAATTGTGCATCATATTTGAATTCATGAATACCTTGGATAATTATTCATTTAAAATCAGAATTGGGATAATGAGAATTTCTGGTTTCTGTGAAATTTATAGTACATTACATCTAAAGTTAATTCTGTCATTACTATTATGAGCCATATGTACCACCAGGGGTGTTAAACAACATTGACTGCCCGTGAGGGTCTGTCACAACTCTATCACGCGTGTGATATGAAATGAAATGAAACGTAAGGTAAAATGATTGAAACATATTGCATTATCTATAACAACTGTCAACTACTGAAGCAATAAATGTTTTCTTTAATTGTTCACAGAAATTAAAGGATTTAATTTTCATTTGAACCTAACATTCTTAAAAATAGAGAATGGAAATGGGGAAGGTGTCAAAGAGACAATAACCCGACAAAAGAGCAGAAAGCAGAAGAAGGCCACCAATGGGTCTTCAACAAAGCGAGATGGATTGGAAATGTTCTTAGAAGACCAGATGAGAACTTGACCAGAGTCACCCTTAAGATGGGCACCAGGGGGAAAAGGGACAAAAGATGCCACGAAACAGCTTAGAGAAGAACGGTTGAAGCTGAAATGAAAGACCATGGAATCAAATGGGACAAGTTCAGAAAGCAAATAACAGAGGTGAGTGGAAATATTTAGTCATTATTCAATGTGCACCCGGGCATACAAAGTACAATGTAGTGAGGTAGGTAGGTATGATAATGTTACAAAATAAGTTCTATAAGTTGACAGAACATGTATATGTAAAATACACAAAACAGTCTACATGTCATGTGTTGTCTTCTCTAGTTCTTGCTAGAGACCAGAAATTAATTCAAAATATATATTATCTCAAAACTAAAAAGAATTGTAGCTATACTTCTGGAGCAGTAAATTTAATAACTTAACTTTGAAAAAAAATCATGTTAATGCATGTGATGCACCGGCTAGCTGCAACGACTCTCAACACAGATATCGCATGAGTGGAGATGAATAAATGATTTCCTATATTAACTTCACTAAACATTAATTTCAGTATGTGAACTTAATGCGTGTAGTAGGAAACGTCAAGTACATAAGTTTTGTTTTTGCTTTTTGTTTATATTTTTCGTGTGGTCCATTGTACCTTTCTTTGCTTCATTGTTATAGTCTAGGTTACCCCACAACAACAAGTTATATCTATTCATTTTTAATAATTATTCCTTGTAAAACATGAACTAAATTTACTGCTTAAAAAATAATGGACACTATTTAAACAGAACTTGTGTAGGCGATTGTATTTGGCCAAACATCTTCCTTTTCATTTTTCGAAGGTATAAGGTGTCGATATTCAACGCATATCACACGTATTTGTTATTTCAATAACATTTGAACCTAGTCTGTGTCTAAAATACTTGAGTTACTCCTTCGGCCTTTGACGTACTGTTCTCATTCAGTTTAATGTTTATATAATCGTGACCGTTCAGACTCCACAATGTATTCTTAGACCACAAATGTTAAAGGGGAGAATTCAATGTTTTCTGTGCTGGACATGTTTGCTCCGGTATAATTTCCTTGTTGAAAAGGATGTCCGTTTAAGTGTGATGGATTTGATAATTCAGAGCCAAGTCGAAATGGGGACTTTCAACTACTGCATCATATAATGAGAATGCAACGATATCTGCACGTTTGGCAACAAAAATCGAAACAACTCTCTGAGGTGTCCGTAGGTGGCATGTTAAAAAGCAAAATGTCTGGCATTATTTAACATATCATTATTTACAATGATAATCGGAACTACCACCTGTTGACTAAGCTTGTAGATCCTGTTTATTGTATAAAATTGGGAATTTGTTATTGCACCAAATATCAATCAACATTTGAATGGTTTCTGGACAACGTTAAGCAAGCTACAATCAATCAGTATATCATATACTTAGTATGAATTTCAGACGATCATGTCTACGGTTGTAGAGATTTGGTTTTGTTAAAAGTAAAATTAAACTGAGTTTATGTTTTAAAATAAGCAAAACAATCGACATAATGTTAACATGTTTCTTTTGTTACTGCATCAGTTAAGAATAAGCAATACTATGTGAAAATGTCCACCCTTGATCGGCTATTTTTAAGAAATGATTTTTAGACAGTGTAGACTGTATATGCATTTGTGAAAACTCGGTTTGCACAATCAATAAGGATAAATATTTAGCGTAGGTATTTCACTTACAACAAATTTGGAACCATTGCCTTGACAGTCTTCTCAGTAGAATATAAAGCCCCGTTAAAACTACTGAAAAGAGATCATATTGTTTTATGTAAGGAATGCATGTTGACTCAGAATAAATGTCTACAGTAACTACAATGGTATATATAAATGACAGCAACTCAAAACCTCCCAAACAAAACATTAAATCTAGAGGGTAACGTTTACAAACCAAATAAAAACAAAATGGTTATTATACAAATTACTGTCAAGTTTGGTAAAATCAGTTAAATAGTTTTGGAAAATCTAGTTTATTGTTAGACCACATCTACAGAGATATAACATAACTTCTTCGAAAAATTCAAATTAAGCCGCATCATGATAGAATATTGTATGACCAATAAATGATTAAATATCTATCTCATCTGCCTACAAACAGTTGAATATGATACGAAAGGTGACTCTTTGATGATAAAAATCTCTCTCATTTCTTTCAAATTTCAACTTTGTAGGCCAATAAATAAATATTTTAGGGTAACTTTCACTCTGAAAGAAATGTTATAATAAATAACTAATTGAAGTGTTCAAGCTGAATAAACTAACCATTAAAAGGTTTACTGAATCCATGGAAGTTTCATTTAGTCCATACGTAAAACTTAAATGTACGCCGGACTTCAGAGAAAGATATAACAAGCCTGGCATTTGGTGCATAATTTGTTTTTTCTGCTTCAACAATAATTTGATTTACTTCAAACTGTATATTTATATTAGTGTTACTTACAAAAAAAATGTTCTATTATAGCAAAATTTGAGACATTAGGAGAAAAGTCAGCAAAGAATATCCCCAAATCAATGAGCATGGCTTGCTCGGTCGACAATTGTTCATTGTAGAGTCCTATTTTAAGGGAACCTTCTCATAAATGTGTTTTCGAGACTCAAGAAAGTATTTTTCAATTTTTGTAATATTTCATTTAAATAGCAAGATGCATTCACAAATGAGAGTTCCGCAAGAATCAAATGTGCACATGCAGTTCCGTATAATTGGTGTTATACCACCATTTTGTCCTATAAGTCTAAGTAAAATTTGCTCTTTTAAAAAAACTGTGCAGATTTTATGTGTGTTTCAAATAAAGAAATACTTGGCATGCGTAAAGAAGTACCTTGTCCAGGACCATAATCAAAATTTCAAAAAAAATGCATTGGTTGTAAGAAAATAACCAGTACTTAAAGTTAACCCATCAAATGTTCATCCCGTCTTCCTGTTTACTATACATACCAATATGTTTACTTATTCTTGGAAGCCGTACGGTCGCTTGTGATTGCTTAAATCCAGCGTATTTCAACACTGATTGATTGTTTTCTCATTTAACATCAAAGTACATTTTCTTATTCTTATAGCAATAAGAGATGCATATCTATTGGTAAATAGTAGATTATTTGGCATTCTTTGACATTTAACTGTTTACTTTTTAAACAAAGTGATTTAGATGGCGATTTATCTCATTTGCACACATAACATATCTTCTTATTTCTACATATTATTCAAACGTCTATTTTGTGTACAGCAATGAATTGCGTATTTGAACTTTGTATGCAATCGGAGTTATAGTTCACCTACCGGTGTTAAAGTGACAATCATCACAGTTTCAATATACTAAGATATTTACGCTTCTTATCAGTGACTGAAAGAATACTATAATTTGGTATTGATGGTTTTATTTTCTTACTATTGCCTGGTGTTTTTTTGTTTTTGTTTATTGTATTAGTTTTATTGAGTATATTTAATTAAAATTTATTGGTATTCTTTTTTTTTTTTCATTTCTAGTGAAGATAAAATAAAAAGGCGAGGTTTGCGGTTTGTTTCTTTCTTTATAACTGTTTGTGTTTATACACGTAAACTGCTATTCCCTGCTGAGTTTATATCTATAGAAGGGTTTAACTATCGTAACTTCAATACAGAAGTAAAATTAATTAATTCACACTTTTTTCAGATTTTGACCTTGACGAATTGTACAGACAGTTTCTATTGTTGAAGATGACTTACGCATTTATTTTCTTTTTCTTATTTTGTTTTATTCTTAACAAAAAAAAAACCAATAATTTTGAATAGGATAAACCAAAAAATTAATATGAATTAATTGGAATTCTTTAACTTGATATTTAAGTGAATTAGACTTTAGTGTTAGACGAGAGACTTAACAGATTGTATATAACGATTCGAATTATTAACGTTAAATAAACATATAATTATTTGGTATTAAATGTTGTATATAGATAAACATATTTTCTATATTTTACTTACGGGGGTATGATAATACCAATGTAAAAACTAGTCTGATTGCTTTGGTACGATACTCATCTGTAATAATACAAAAATACAAACATGCACAGCAATATTGTATGTCTCTGTAACAAACAGGTAGGTGTAGTCCTCACCTGTACAAAAGTGAACTTGGAGCAGACTTTTTAACGGCTTTCCAAGTTAACTTGAGAAATTTAAAGCAGACATGCAAATTGACTTCGTCGTTCGTAGACCCCAGTTTTCTGGTAAATATTTCATTGATCGAAATGTTCAGCCAATCTTTGTTTGCCTCTGTTTGAAAGTTATCTTTTTGACAATCATAGCATACAAGCTGTTTAGACAAGACAGCGGATGCATAATAGGGATCAGGGTCTGTTTACCATTTGTACTTCGTTTTTTTGTATCGTTCCTGTTGCTCAGTCTTAATTCATCCATGTTATGTTGTTTTTTTATATAGCTGTTTGTATTTTGTTTCCTTTTGTGTCATTGCCTTTGCATGTCCTTGTGATGTCTTTTGTCTCTCTTTTTATACTTAGAAACAAAAATACAAAACAAACGTAATGTCTCTATCCCTTTCCTATCTACATTACACGATAAAGATATACACCCATTATACATAGTAAATTTGATTGTTATTTTTTTTTATTTCACTTAAGTTTTAAACAATGATTTCTTCAAGTAAAACAAACAAATATTGCAATGAGATGAAAACATGTTGATTTAAAATAGGACTATAAATAAACTCATCATAGACATCAGGATTAAAATTGTAAACGGCAAAAGACACACCAATAACGCTGGAATAAAAACAAATTTAAAAGGCCAAAAACATGTACAAACTTTGGTAGCATCGAGGACCCAAAACACCTTAAAGTTTTGACAAATTTATTTAAGTTGAGTTATGCCCTGGTTACAAAATTAAAAGTATTTTGAAATTTTCTAGAAAATTCAAGGTTTTGTGAACATGTCGTTTATAATAAAGACCTTATCAATGATTTTTTATGTCAACACCAAAGATGCCGACTTGTAATCTTATGACACCATCGGGTTGAAAATCAACCAGCGATTTATTGACCCAGTGGCTGTAAGTTAACCCATCATAGACGCCAAGATTGAAATTTTGTGTGCCAGATGAATAGATGCAAATAGCTGCAATTTATATTAAACTTGCCCATTTCACTACAATGATAATATTCTAGATCAATTATTTGTTTGCTATCCATACAAGTAACGAAGACTCCAACAAAATTGTTAAACAGGTTAAAATATAGAAAAATACTTTAAGGATTTACGATAATTAGCCTGTTATAACATTCAATAAGTTCTTGTAACTCAAGTCAATAAATGACCAATGCTTGATTTGAAAAAAATAAATAAGAAATGCGCAGGGTATATCGTATAATTATATGCATATATACGTGTATATACAGTTATGTTGATGGGGCTACGTTTTCAATGTATAATGCTTTGAATGTTGGTCATTGAGTTTTGCGGAAGATTATCTCATCCATTTCAATCCACACTACATTCATCAAGTTCATAATGTAACCTAAAATCTATTTTAGAGTATTTGGCTACATGTCTTTAAGTTGATTTTTTTGGGGATTTCCCCCCTTTTATCAAGTGTAAACTTACCTGTAGGAAGACAAGCTATGTTGTATTTAAAGTTGTCGAAAAGAATTGTCTGTATTTCTTGTGATATATTAAACCTATTAATACAAAATTATTTTTTTAACTATCTTGTACAGATAAAATCCTGTTACTGCAATAAACGTTTTTTAAACTATTTTAAAGTCTACCAAAAGGGACAACCTGGATCAGGTATTTAACTTGGATGTCACAGATACAAGATTATACATTGTAGAAGAATTTGAATATGGCCTAGTAGTAGGTCTTTCTGCTGTTTAGCTGCATTGCAAAAATAAACATAGTCTTTCTGTTAAAATTTAAGCTTCTTAAGGCAATATTGGTTTGGGTATTCTAGATTTTGTTGTTGCAGCTGGTTGGTTTAAACATTGTGGTTTTCAATTTCTCTATTTGTTTATCATGGCTTTTCAGATTTCTCTTAAACTTATATGACAATAAAGATTAAGTATCAATCCATGACACAAAATCAATAAATGAACAGCAAAAAAGGCAAAAGAACAGGGCTTCGATTAAATGTTCTCCTTGTGTCTTTCGCATCTTATTTTCATATACGATGTCATTGTTTTATTTAAGCGTATTACACGTTATAAAATGGAGATTTTCCAATGACTGATAAACTATCTATTGATAATTAAGATATACCAACTAGGAAAATCAAACATAACAAGACATACCTTTCATCCGTTGAAAATCTACGATTCATACTGAATTCCCTATTGCGTTTCGAATCTGAAAAAAAAAATTGGCTTGTTTTTCAAGAAATTATCTGTGGTATTTTGTCTTTTTCATTTTATCCGGCTTTTAATAAAATAAAAACACTTTTCCTTTCTTTTATGATAAATGTGAATATATTTTGTAGGCACTATTGATACAATGATGTACTCAAGAATTTACTGAAAAACGTTTAATTGTATTATGTACATATAGAGTCTGAAGTTTTGGATTAGACATAATCCCCGAATGTTTTTATAGCATACATGTAAAAAAAAAACTGTTCTAGGGCAGATCTGTCAAATGTCAGATCTGGACGAGACATGTCAACAGATCTTTCTGGAGCTGACTTGTGAATAGATCTGCAGCAGTCCTAAAAAATGCAGTTTCCACATCTCTCTTAACTTGATATTCTCTCAAAGATTCAGCTTGTTTTGTATATTATTTGACTTTTGGTCGTTTTTCGGGTGTTTTTTTTTTTTGTGCCATGGCCTACATGAAATTTATAAAACAATAATCAATATATTTTATGTTCGATACCGATTTTAAATACATTTAATATAAAATATGGTGCTCTTATAAACTAGTTTTAACTAAAGAAATTAAAAATAAAAATCAATGTATTCAAACTGTTTGCTTTTAAGGATGTTCGCTCCTCTTGTTTTTAAATTTTTGCCAGATCTTTGGAATCCTCTGGTTTTATCCATGCTTTGCCATTAAATAATTTTGTCCACTAACCCCTACTTTTCTTTTCATAATTTTATTTCATATAGTTTTAAAAGTCATATTTGAAAATCTTATAATATCCTTGTTATTTTTTCATAGTTTTTAAAAGAGAAAAGCGGACAATGTTAAAAGTATGAAAAATCTAGAGAGAATCATTTCCCGCCAAATTTTCAATGGCTTATATCTCAAAAACAAGCACACAGACCCTTCATTTTTTTCTGCTTTTTTAGTTCCTTTATTTATATACTATCAATTTATAACCTACTTTTAAAAAGCTTGTTATTTTGAAACAGAGTAGCGAACATCCTTAAGGAAGGGAGGGTAACATACTTGTTTGTATGTTTTAATTGGGTTGTTTTATATTATGATGGTAATGAATATCAAATAGTTATAGTGATTGATTAAACAATATCACGTTAGGTCCGCTTAATTGATTTTTTTCTTTCTTTCAAGTGTAATAATCATACAATTTAAAAAGATATTGAAACTGCTGGAATTTACCTTACTCTTAATTTTAGAGCGATCACATAATAAGACTAAGTCCTTTACATGCGAATTAATAAAAGTTATGGAAATATTTTCAAACAGGCAAATAAATACTATATAAGATTACAAATAATATTGTTTTTTCTATTTTCAATTATGCTTTAAATTGATGGGGATTTTGGTTATATCTCTACATTACAGCTGTACAAGTCTGGTTAAAAATAACTCGCCATGCTACAAAAAAATACGAAAAAATTTGTTCTTACATTTTTATCTCAGGGCTATAACATGTATGGCATTTCTTTCGAAAAAAGAGTGACGAAAGATACCAGAGGGACAGTCAAACTCATAGATCGAAAATAAACTGACAAAGCCATAGCTAAAAAAAGACAAACAGACAAATAATAGAACACAATACACAACATAGAAAACAAAAGACTAAGCAACGAGAACCCCACCAAAAACAAGGGATGATCTCAGGTGCTCTGGAAGATTAAGCAGATCCTGCTCCTCATGTGGCATCCGTCCTGTTGCTCATGTTATTACAAACCCGGTAAATAGGCTGATTCGCTAGGTCATATTCGTGAAAAGGAAAGGGGATTGTAGGTACGACATAAGTAACATATGATGTCATCTGTGAAAAGGTTATTCAATAACGGTGAAACAACTCGTGATGCCGTCCGTAATATTCACGAAGGGATGGTTTCAACTTCACCATTTGGAACTCTTGGTTTAATGGCTTCCTTGTGAGCAGCAACCCTCTATCAAGTAAATCATGATAGGACATACAAGCCCGGGAATGTCGTATCAATTGGGAGATATATACTCCGTATTCAGGCGCTGCTGGAATGTTGCTACATAGAAATGAAAAGTTCGCGATTGGGAAGCTGGAATCATCTCTTTTGTCGTAAAGTTTTGTTTTAAATCGACCCTCATACTATACGTTAAACTATATTCCATATTTAATACATTTTACGAAAGAGATGTACTGACCAATTCACACAGTAATTTCAATGATGAATTAACTTTGTATTTGAAGAATGGTAGAGTATTTAAATTTCTCTTTACTGTCTTACTATTGTTTGATGATTTAAAGTCATATGCAACTTCAAATTAAACAAAATTGATGCATATGTTTCTTTTTTATAACAAAATGGGTAGTTTTTATTATAAAACTTATGTACGTATACTTTTTCCCGAAATCAAATATCCACGAAAATGCAAGTTTTCCTCCAAATTGATACCCACGAAAAAAAATGTATCCACAGCTTATTGTACATGTTATAAACGTGACGACCTAATTATCCATGCTTCTTTATTGATTGCTTACAGTACTTGCAACCTTAGGCGTTACTGTTTGACGTGAACTTGACTGATCGGTGAATGATCGGTGACGGATGTTTGACTGATCGATGACTGATCGGTGATCGATGACCCATAGAATCCGTCAGATACGTCAAATAGGCTATGTGAGAGTTACCGTGACAACGGTCAGCGATCGATCAGTAAATTAATTGTATGTACGGATCGGACGGATACGTATATAATTAACATTCTTATGTAAAACGAACTCCACAGTATTTACAATCGATTAACGCGGACCTCTACGAAGACACCTTTACTCGTTAATTATGTACCACTAAACAGCGATAAAATGTTATCATTTAAAATAAGTACTCTATTTGTTGTCGTTAGATGATGAATATAGTAGAACAGTAAAGATACATACAGCTTTGTTTGGATTAATTAATTTAGAGTGTTGTTTTAATTTTTGTTCTAGATTACTAATATTTCTTAATCTTATAACATATAATGCAATGTTATTTCTTATTAGTTATTTAAAAGGCCTCAAGAAAAGTTTCTTTGATAGAATTTACAAAAAAATAAGTATTAAAATACTTAAACTTTAATTTGTGTTGATTAAAGATGCAATCATTTCCTTATTTTGTACTTTTTGTACATCAGGTTTGGTCGTTTTTCATAAAATATGCTGAATTTTAGGAAAAAGATACTAAATTTTTGTTCGAGTTGCTTAAAAATGCAAATATTTCTTCTTTTATATCAGAAATAATGCACGTCAATTGCAACCAGTCATAATTAATGCATTCAGATAATTAATTTTGTATAAGATATGAATAATTTAAGGATAAATATACATACACTTTTGTTTTTATTAAATATTAATTCAATAATTTCTCTTTTTTAATGGAAATTATTGGAATGCCTATGGTTTTTTGTACTTTTTAAGGTTTAGGATTGGTTGTTTTTTATAAAACAAAATAATATCTGAGAAAATATACTAAAATGTTGTTTGCATTGTTTAAAATTACCAATTTTTCTTCTTTTGATAAAAAATAATGCACTGTTATCTGGAACTATTTATTTCAAAGTTCTCCAATAAGATTTTTTTTGTAAGAATTTTGATAATGTAATGAGAATTTTACTTAAACTTTTGTTTTGTGTTCAATACAAATTAAAATAATTTCTTTATTTTGACAGTAATTATGTACCTTCATTTGATTTAGGTACATTTTGTACATCAGGATTAGTTGTTTTTCATAAAATATGCTGAATTTTAAGGAAAAGATACTAAATTTTTGTTCGCTTTCTTTAAAAATGCAAATATTTCTTCTTTTATATCAGAATAAATGCAACGTCAATTGCAATCAGTCATTATAAATGCCTTTAGATAAGTAATTTTGTATAAAATGTGAATCATTGAAGGTTAAATATGCATAAAGATAAGATTAGATAAGAATGCAATAATTTCTTTATTTTGATAGAAGTTATGAACCGTCATTTGATTTTGGTTCTTTTTGTACATCAGGATTGATTGTTTTTCATAAAATATTCTGAATTTCAGGGAAAAGATACTAAATTTTTGTTTGCATTGCTTAAATATGCAAATATTTCTTTTATATCAGAAATAATTCAATGTCAATTGCAATCAGTCATATTTAATGCATTCAGATAAGTACTTTTGTATAAGATATGAATAATTTACTGATAAATATACATAAACTTTTGTTTTTGTTTGATAAAAATTAAAAATTCCTCTATTTCAATTTAAATTATTGACTGCCTATGGCTTTTTGTACTTTTTAAGGTTTAGGATTGGTTTTTTTGTTTACAAAACAAAATAATATCTGAGAAAATATACTAAAATGTTGTTCTCATTGATTAAAATTACCAATTTTTCTTCTTTTGATTAAAAATAATGCAATGTTACTTGTAACTTGTTATTTCAAAGTCTTCCAATAAGATTTTTTTTGTAAGAATTTTGATAATGTAAGGAGAATAAAACTTAAACTTTTGTTTTGTGTTGAATACGAATGCAATACTTTCTTTTTTTTTATGGAAATCATGAACCGTCATTTGATTTTTGGTACATTTTGCACATCAGGATTGGTTTTTTTTTATAAAATATGCTGAATTTCAGGGAAAAGATACTAAATTTTTGTTCGCATTGCTTAAATATGCAAATATTTCTTCTTTTATATCAGAAATAATTCAACATTAATTGCAATCAGTCATAAGTAATGCATTCAGATAAGTACTTTTAAATAAGATATGAATAATTGAAGGATAAAGATGCATAAACTTTTGTTTTTGTTGGAAAAAAAAAGCAATAATTTCTTAATTTTGATAGAAATTATGAACCATCATTTGATTTTGGTTCTTTTTGTACATCAGGATTGGTTGTTTTTCATAAAATATTCTGAATTTCAGGGAAAAAATACTAAATTTTTGTTCGTATTGCTTGAAAATGTAAGTATGTCTTCTTTCGTATCAGAATTAATTCAACGTCAATTGCAATCAGTCATAATTAATGCATTCAGATAAGTTCTTTTGTAAAAGATATGAATAATTTACTGATAAATAAACATAAACTTTTGTTTTTTTTTAAATAAGAATTCAAAACTCCTCTATTTCAATTTAAATTATTGACTGCCTATTGCTTTTTTGTACTTTTTATGGTTTAGGATTGGTTGTTTTTTATAAAACAAAAAAATATCTGAGAAAATATACTTAAATGTTGTTCACATTATTTAAAACTACCAATTTTTCTTCTTTGATAAAAAATAATGCAATGTTATTTGTAACTTGTTATTTCAAAGTCTTCCAATAAGATTTTTTTTTTGTAAGAATTTTGATAATGTAAGGAGAATAAAACTTAAACTTTTGTTTTGTGTTGAATACGAATGCAATAATTTCTTTATATTGATAGAAATTATGAACCGTCATTTGATTTCGGTACATTTTGTACATCAGGATTGGTTGTTTTTCATAAGAAATGCTGAATTTCAGGGAAAAGATGGTAAATTTTTGTTCGCGTTGCTTAAATATGCAAATATTTCTTCTTTTATATCAGAAATAATGCATCTTCAATTGCAATCAGTCATTATAAATGCCTTTAGATAAGTAATTTTGTATAAAATGTGAATCATTGAAGGAAAAATATTCATAAACTTTTGTTTTTGTTAGATAAGAATGCAATAATTTCTTTATTTTGATAGAAATTATGAACAGTCATTTGATTTCGGTACATTTTGTACATCAGGATTGGCTGTTTTTCATAAAATATGCTGAATTTCAGGGAAAAGATACTAAATTTTTGTTAGCATTGCTTAAATATGCAAATATTTCTTCTTTTATATCAGAAATAATGCAACTTCAATTGCAATCAGTCATTATCAATGCCTTTAGATAAGTAATTTTGTATAAAATGTGAATCATTGAAGGATAAATATGCATAAACTTTTGTTTTTGTTAGATAAGAATGCAATAATTTCTTTATTTTGATAGAAATTATGAACCGTCATTTGATTTTTGGTCTTTTTGTACATCAGGATTGGTTGTTTTTCATAAAATATTCTGAATTTCAGGGAAAAGATACTAAATTTTTGTTCTTGTTGCTTGAAAATATAAATATGTCTTCTTTTGTATCAGAAATAATTCAACGCCAATTGCAATCAGTCATAATTAATGTATTCAGATAAGTACTTTTATATAAGATATGAATAATTTAAGGATAAATATACATTAACTTTTGTTTTTTTTAAATAAGATTTCAATAATTTCTCTTTTTTTAATGGAAATTATTGAAAGCCTATGGCTTTTTGTACTTTTTATGTGTCAGGATTTGTTGTATTTCATAAAATATGTTGAATTTAAGGGAAAAGATTCTAAATGTAATGTTCGCATTGCTTAAAAATACAAATATTTCTTCTTTTATATCAGAAATAATGCAACGTCAATTGCTATCAGTCATTATAAATGCCTTTATATAAGTATTTCCTAATAAAATGTGAATAAATGAAGGATAAATATGCATAAACTTTTGTTTTTGTTGAACAAGAATGCAATAATTTCTTTATTTGAAAGGAAATTATTGACTGTCATTAGATGTTTGCACTTTTCATAGTTTAGTATTGGTTGTTTTTCATAAAAGTAAAAGAAGATCATAGAAAATATCCTTAAATGTTGTTCGCATTGTTTAAAATGACCAGTTTCTCTTGTTTTGTTAAAAAATAATGCAATGTTATTTGTAACTAGTTATTTCAAATGCTTCAAGATTATTTTTTTTATAAGAATTTTAATATTGTAAGTGGAATAAGGCTTAAACTTTTGTTGGTGTTCAACTGTTGAAAATGAATGCATTAGTATCTTCATTTTGATAGAAATAATGAATCACCATTTGATTTCAGTACTTTTTGTACATCAGGATTGGTTGCATTTCATAAAATATGTTGAATTTCAGGGATCAGATACTAAATTTAATATTCGCATTGCATAAAAATACAAATATTTTTTCTTTTATATCAGAAATAGTGCAATGCAATTGCTATCAGTCATTATAAATGCCTTTAGATAAGTAATTTTTTAATAAAATGTGAATAAAGAAGGATAGATATATACATAAACTTTTGTTTTTGTTGAAATAGAATGCAATAATTCCTTTATTTGAATAGAGATTATTGACCGTCATTGGATTTTTGTACTTTTTATAGCTTAGGATTGATTATTTTTTATTAAGTTAAAAGACTATCAGAAAAAATATACTATAATGTTGTTCTCGTTGTTAAACATTACCAATATTTTTTATTTTTAAGAGAACTTGCAGAATTTTTATTTTTATTTGTGATTTGTTATTTTAATGGCCTCGAGATAAGTTTGTTTAAAGAATTTTAAGATTATAAGGATAAAATACTTAAAGATATTTAAAAATAATACATCGAAATTTGCAATAAATGATCATTTCATTTTATTTTCAAGAGCATTTTCGGAAAATAATAAAATCACTGAAAATCGCGATCAACACCGTTTTAGAAATGTCTGGGTTTGAAAAAATAAAACCTAAATTAAAACGAAAATGGCCATTCTTTAATAGTAATATTTAAATTTAGTTTTATATGCATATTTATTTTCTTTTTAAATTCTTAAAACTGTGCTAAATAATTAATAAAAAAAGATGTTGATCATTTGTACTTGAATGTTTCGTATTTTCCATGTCGCCATTTTAATTAAATGAAACGAAACTAAGATTTCGTAATTTGTATTAGTTTATCATGTGACGTAGTAGAGTTCAATCCGTCAGAAAGGTCGATCGGTCATATCCGTCCGATCAGTCAAATACTTTTACTATAAGTCTGACGGATTGGTGACGTGAGTTTGACGCGAACTTGACTGATCGGTGACTGATCGATGACCGCTGATTGATCGCTAAAACAGTAACGTCTAAGGTTGCAAGTACTGTACAAAGGTGGCAATCGGTAAGCTTCGGCTTCAAAACAAGACCAAGTGAAATATTTTTTTTTTACAATTATACGAAATGAATGCATACAAAATGATCAAATCGTGAACAGAAGACTAGATTTATGATATTTACATGCATTGGTTCATGAATTAGATTAACATTACTGTTTACCGGTCACTCGTTTCATATGACTTTAAACCTAGCAAGTCAAATTAACTGGAGCGGGATGCTATTTTTCTTTTTTTTTTAGCTGGGAGGGAAGACAACTTATACACTTCACACATGTCTTAATGTTAACATGTTAACAAATAATGTTTCGTCAAATTTGGTTTTCATTTACCCAAGAAGTCTTTATAAATGAAAATAATAAACAAATTAGGCCTTTGAATTATGTACGAGCATAGTCACATATGGAAATCAGTCCAAACAATCTTTATTACATTTTCCCTCCATTTGAACAGTAAATTCATATAGAAAACAAAAGTTCTAGCTCACCCATCAGGTCTTTTGTTTTGTTTGTTAAATCAATGGCAATATAGCAGGAGCAGTCTTCTGTTGAAGGATTGCAGAACAATGAGTTTTGTTGGTCCTTGACCAAAAAATAACCCTTTTCTGTATTGCAAAAACATGTTCTGTCGGACTTAGTTGTGCCATTATGGACAGTTTGTTGGCCTTCACTGCTACATAGTGACTTCAAGAAGGCACACCGACTGTAACCAGTTGTGTTAAATCTGAAAGGTTGATATCGGGACGGACTGCAAACATCTCTGTTTAGATTAGGTTCAAAGACGTATTTATAACCTAAAATCATAAATAAATGTCAATTGCTCCATATGAATAAAAAAGTCATAAACCAGAAAAAAGCATATAATTAGTATTGGTATTAAACATTTATGTATACTACTTAACAATTCAAATAATGTAACTATACTTTTAGTGCAACAAATGTTTTTTCGTTAATCACAATATTCACCATTTTGAATATAAGAGCACATAAAACGAAAAAAAACAACACCCAACCCCTACAGACTGACTCTTGTTCGTGTTCTTTTTTCTAAAACATGCAACAATGGAAAAAAAGACTGTACAGTGTGGAAGTACTCGGATCCACTAAACATTACATTGAAAGAGATATCATAATAAATGTGCATGTTAATGTTTTAAGATAACATCTAGAGCATAGTTAAAATATTAACCTGGTCCAACAATTTCAGATTTGTAACATTTATCTTTGTATACATTAACTTGACGATTCACGTCAAATAAGCAAATGTATCTTTCTTTAGTTGTGCACATAGATATTGCACGAAGCTTCCAGTGTGCTTGGGATGGGCAGGAAAAGTCATAGGCTTCATTTAGAGCCAACACCTGAAAAAAAGAACACATGTTTTGCTATTCAAATCATATTATGTATTTTAAGTATATAAAACTGATTGTAAAGCACGTATGGGCGCTATACATTTCCAGAACTAGTTTATTTATGAATATGACTGTTGCTATCTTTTCGTTTGATGTTTTTGAGCTTTTGATTTGGCCATAAGGGACTTTCCGTTTTGAATTTTCTTCGTTGTTTAGTACTTTTGTGATTTTACTATGCTATCTGCTTTCGTTGTATGCCTTTTGTGTATAGAGAAATAACAAAATACATGACATTGGCACCTCTAAGGTTTCGATTTCAATCAAGATTATCTAATACCCTCGTACTGAATGGTACTTGAATCGATGAAATTGTCATATATATATATATATATTAATACTCCTAAAAGAATTCCTAAAATAATAAAGAATATAAAGGAATAGATATATAAAGGCCATTTTGAACATTTTTTTAATTTTGAACATTTTTTTAACGCAAAGTATAAAATATGTAAAAACCTCTAACAAACGTTCTTGCCATATTTATATGAAATGCTCCTTATTTGCATTCCTGCATGAATTATCTGATAGCCAAATATAATAATTTAATTCTTTTCGGCAAGATTAATTTGGTGAAAAAGCCTGAGGGAATTACAATTTATCTTCAAGGGATGCGAAGGGGAGCCAGGCTATGTTTTTTTTATAAATAAAATATTCTTATCCCCAATTTGATGGAAACAATATATTTTGGTCAGCAGATAACAAGAAGATTATTCTGAATCCAGAGTTTCTACATACTTTATAGTGTTAATTATTGTAAAAAAATTTGATTGATAATGTTGACAAAAAAAACATATCCCCCACTTTTTGAAGTAAAAATGTTGCTCCCTAAATCACCTTGTTCTCCAAATCCTACTTAATGTATTAATAGATCTACTTAGTAGGAAGAAGTTTTATGTGCACAAGTTTTGAGTCATTCTTTAGTAGTTAGAGAGCACTCAAAAGAAATAAGGTGCACTCGAATCTGGAAATTTCATTTTGTTCTGATTTCTATATTTAAATATCATTTTTTTGGTAGATATTTTCAGTAACTTAAAGCTTTCAATTTTTAAGAATTATAGTCTTTTATTGAACTTTCAAAATTTCGTCGTGACAAAAAATTATACATTAACATTAAATTTTATAAAGACATACACACATTGTCCTGAACATGCATGAAATATTTGCCACTGGACGTTAATCAATCACATATGTGAAATGAAGAAACCTGAATATTTCCGAATATATTTTTCAGGTATATCTGGAATATCTGGTCTATCGTTTTCTTGATGGAGAAAAACAAACATTATTTCATATACTGTGAGTTAATTTATCAAAAAAAAAATGTATTTATCGAAGAGTTTCGTGCAAGATCACAAAAATATTATATACATACAGGAATATAAAAATACAAAAATTGCGGACTCTAAAATTATAATTGAAATAAAAGAATTGAAGGGGGGTATTGATAATTTTATTAATTGTCATTAAACATTTACAATGTTTGTGGCACTACAAGTTTAAACAAACATTCTAATATGACGTGCTTCTTTTGCTTTATGAATTAACCCATGCTCTAAATCTTATAATTTTGTTTTGCACATGCGTATATTGACTACTGCAGAATAATGAATTTATCAAATTGGCATACATTTAATATATTTCATTAACTTAAAACACTTCCAAACTTTTAAATGATGAACATGTTGTTACTAATTCATTCATAATGACTGTAATGTGTTGCATTCCGAAATTAACATATTTGACCTAGATACGACAACCGTTCAGGCTGGCTGTTCCAAAACTCCTCCCTCTGAAAAACCACAGTGCCAGCTGTTTGCTACTTTACAAACAAAAAAGGGAGGTTCATGGAAGAGCCTACAAAATCGCTTTACCCTTATACACATCAGACATAGAAATTACCTCAATTGTCCTAATCAGAATCGAATTAATTGATGCAAGCTATACTTTATTGTAGTTTTAACATGGGTAGGCATTATATTTGTGTTATTTTAGCCCTCACTATCGCTCTACAATAAAGTATAGCTTGCATAAATTATTTCTTAAATAAACAACAAAATAATATACGAAAGTTATTCCAATAAACACAAAAACATAAGTGATAAATTTATTATATTACAATATTCAATATCCATTTTACAATAAGAACTTTGTCCTCAATTCTAATGACCTTTTAATAAAAAAAAGCCAATAATTCTAACATGTCTAAAGGAAGCGGGGTTTCATATATAAAATAATGTTTGATCATCAGGTAAATGAATAAAATGTTCATCATCTAATTGTATATCATTATATAAATTTTGTCTGATATTTTCGTTTACCTTGCAATGGAGAATAAAATGAAATTCCTCTTCGATGACTTTGCAGGTTTTACACAGTCTTTGTTATCGAGGAATTTTAATGAAACGACCATTTTCTATTTCAAGACCATATGGTCACTTATACGAAGTTTAGTAAATATATTCCTGATAGAAAAATCATTAAACAATAAGTAATTATTTGCTTCAAGTGAAGGTTTTAAGTTACTTTACAGAAAAAGTTTGCTACTTTTGTCAATTTTTTCTATTTTACTTTTATAAACATCTTTATAATAGTTATTTATTTCATTTTTAATTTCTGATTTTAAATGAGTTACATCTGTAATATTCTTACAATTGGCAGCTTTGTCTGGGAGGCTATTGTCTGGTAAGACATTTTTAACATGTGTATACCAAGAATATACACCTCTTAAATCAAGGGATTTTGAAAGTTCAAAGGCCTCTTTCATTTATGGGTTTAAATTATCAATATTTAGTCTAGCAAGGTATAAAATATATTGGGTTAACATAAAATTTTCAAATGGAAGTCTACTTAGTTCCAATCTCACTCCTATATTTGATGAGGTTATGTATTTCTTTTTATATTTTTAGAACAATTATGAATTACTAAAGCAAATATTTTAATGTCACAGCCTTTTCCATTGTCAGTTTTTATGAATATATTGTAAAAAAACTTTTTCACGTAAAATTAAACTCTTCGTCGAACATTTTTTTTTTCAATTTACAATTCAAACAATTTCTTTATCCCAATTTACACATACCTTTTAAATAAACATCTATTTTATTTATTGATAATTTTTGATCAACCTGAACATGAAATATTTGGCACGACATTAAACAAACAATAATCAATCAACATATATAGACATCTCTGTACACAGTGGGATGTCTTGATTTTAAAGGTTCGGTAATGAATGTATATATATACTTGCTGTTGAATTCACGGCTTGCGCTTTAAGGATGTACTTAGGTGTTCTAAGGTAAAATTAAATAAATTAAGAATTCAAAATTGATACTTTAAGCTGGAAGAGTATAAGTTAAGGATCAAAATAAACTAAAAATATTGATAGGTCATGGAGCTCCTTTTCGAGATATTTGATTTATAAAATATGGTGGGAAAAGGGTGACTCGGACTTTTACCTTATATTTGCATTGGTATTATTTGTGACTCAAATCAAAAGAAAGAAAATCAAGTATCTGTTTAAATTTTGTCAAATGATCTTTTATTAGCTATTTTGTTTTATGTTAAAAGATAAATAGGTGTTATGGGGCAAACTATTTTACCTTGTATCGTATGGAAAAACACCAAGGAGTCCGATTATTTGACACTTATTCCAAAACCTCACATAAGTACATCCGTAAGTTGTGCTGAAAAGGAGCAAATATTGTTGGCCCTTCTTATCATAGAGAGTTTTGAATGTTACATATCTGGAACACCACCCCATGTTCCGTTGTCTGTGTTTTTACATTTATTAAAATATTGCCCTCCCTTAAAAAAACACTCTTTAAAGCGGTTCATGCTGATTTTAACAGCCCTTTAGTTACACTCACTTCAGAGATTGGTTTATACGTCAAATACAGCTTGGGAACATTCCATTTAACTCATCGTTCGATGTATAACGTTTGCTTGGTTGAGTTAAACCTTAAACTTCGTAAGTACATCGGATACGTTGGGGGAACATTCCATTTCACTACACTTTCGATGTACAACATATGATTGGTGGATTTAAACAGCATTCATTCCATTTGTGATGCTGTTTTTAATTGGCTGTTCGATACGTTTAGAAGCTTCACAAGAAGGTTCAATTTTACTTGTGCTTATCAAACGGACCTTGCTCAAACTTTGGTGTAGTCTCATCTAATTGGTTTAGTCAACATATATTGGTTTAAAGAAAGTTTTCTGTAATATTCTGTTTTAAGTCTCTATGGAGTGATATTCAATCATTCTTGGTTTATGATTCTCAATTTTTTAAGGTTCATCATAACAAACGGACAAATATGGATGTATTTACATGCCAAAAACTACTCTGAGTACAGACTTACCTGTGAAGTTGGAAAAGTTTTAATCCACTAGATATATTAAAATTAATTTTTTCCTTCATTTTCCGGTTTGTATTGCTTTGATTGTCCTCAATTGACATGGACAAGAGGTATCTTCACAACTATAGGTGAGTTAAAGAGTGTATCTGAGTCAGTGAGTGGACAGTATCAAAGTAATTCAGGTGTTTGTTTATTTTTACACCTTCTTCAGAAAGGAAAACAAAATGCCCATCAATATCCAAAAAAGATTTTATCTTTCTTAAACACAAAATGCATTTAACTTTTATATATCTAGTGGATGCTAGGCCTTAAAACTTTCCAAACAGCACAGGTAAGTCTGTACACAGAGTAGTGTTTGAGGTGAAAATACGGCCATATTTGTCCATTTGTTATGTTGAACCTGGACCAAATGACCCAGGTGGTTTAAGTTATTGAACTTTTTAAATTGAGGCCCAAAGTTGGGGTATGGCGGCCCTATCACCTCCCTATTCAAATTCATAAAAAAATCCCTTCGGCAAAGCTTTTGTCCATACTAGGACCAAATTATAGGCAATTTCCTAAGGTTGCCTGGACCTAAAGACCCAGGTGGTTAAA